AATTTATAATTTTATAACACTCCTACCTAGGACCTAAATAGGTCGAGAGTATTATTGGCGAGTGCCTTACATTCTTAGTGCTATGAATGAGAGACACTAAGTCTAATGTCATTATTTGCTTAAATATTTATCAATTGCCATGGAAGCTTATTCAATTTTTATAGTTTAGTCCATTCTCATTAAACACCTAGCTAATTTTTTTTTAATAAACATCTTAAAATATTTATTTATTCATTCATTCAGTTCTAAATTAACAAAGATACCTAGACCATTTATAATAGAATAGGTTAAACCTATATTGATTTTTACAAGTAAACTTCGATAAGCTCCCGTAGCACTTTTCCTTCCTATTCGTCATCAAGTTCACATTCAGTCTTTACTTGTTCTTAAATACCTACACGACAAGACAACTTGATGAGTTTCCGCTTAGTAAGTGTAGTCATGTATGCATGATGCAATGAAATGCATTTTCATGACTTTGAAATATATTTTCTATGATCCAATGCATCTTTCCGAATATATATATATATCCGACTATCTATGAAAAACCATGTCCGTGAAAATCACGAAAAGCACTAAACATGTCCTCTTTGAAGCTTATGACATTCACAAGGAGTATATACCAAATCATTCTCCTTTATAAACCATGATTGAACTCGTGACTATGACGCCCACAAAGAGTTGACCATTCTCTAAGTGTGCCATGATTAAGCTCATGATTGTGATTAGGATATGCCTAGCTATTTCCTTGAAAATCCATGCTTTTGATTTTATCTTTGAAAACATGAAATATGATGAAAACCATTTCATGACGTGAATGCGTAACACATGATCCATGATTATTAATAAACATTTATCTATTAAACATAAAAGTAATATATACTAAGTTCATCCAATGACATACCAGATCACATAATCAATAAATTAAAATATGAAAATATCATTTAATCATTCCCTATAGTGTTGCTCGAAACATCTAAATTCAATACTAATAATTAATCATTAAGAATCCAATTGTTTTAGGTTTAGTCATTTGATCGAATGATCCTTAACATAAACACAATTATTATTTTGCCTTAGAACTATCCATATCACATTAACTAATGGCATAATAAACATTTACATGAGCATGATATGTGAACAATCACCAAGGAAAATTAAATTTACCAATAGGTTGAATTTGTCAATAAGTTGAATTTGTCGAGAACATACCAAGGTATATCCAAGCATGAAACCTATTGATTTCCACCTAAATTGTCACCATAAATAAACTAGAACTAGCATTGTTATCAATAAACATATGAAAATTACATCAATTCACTTAAAATTCAGATTTGGCACATCAATTCACCAAAATCCAGATTTGCTCCAAACACATTAACAAAAAATTACTTTATCAATTCAACAATTTTAAAGTTCCTAAATCTTGTTTAAACCTAATTCCATCCTTAATACATTGATGTAACACATGACCTATCATAATCAAACATCAATTGACATTACCCATTCAATAATTAACCATCATTTCAACCAACCAAACATGAACTTTAATCAAGCGTAAACACACAATCAAATCAATTTCATCAATTCATCCTAATTAACCAATTACTTCCCAATTCATCAATTAACTTTATTAGCCTAAGTTCAAAGTTTATGACCAAAATGATCAACAAAGGTAATCAAGCCAAGTTTTTCAATCATCCACCCTTAAACATACCAAATCCACCTAAAGAACACCTAAAAATACAAAATTATGGAAGTTAACATTTTCTCTTAATTTCACTATGTTTAGCAAAAACTTTCAACTTCTTTTGCCCAAGTTTAATTCTTCAATCCAACCTCAACCTCAATTGAACCTTCAAATATGTTATTTCAACCTTCAAAAACATGTTTCCACCATCAATTCATCAAGATAGATCGATTACATCAAAACCCATCAATTTGAAAAATCAATTCACAATCTCTCGTAACCTCAAAACGTAAACAATCAAACATCAATTTGATCATTTTCTTGTGGTGTAGTGAGGACTACACTTACCTCACTTGCTGCTTGATCAAATTACTTCTTGGTTGCTTGAAGTTTTCTCTTCCTCCTCCTTCTTCAATATTTCGACCAAACCTCCATTTTTTCCTTCTTTGTTCTTCTTCTTCAAATGATTTTAAGGTGTTTTTGGGTATATAGTTTAGGTGGTTTTTGATGGTGGATAGACTTAATTTTTCTTAAAATTAAAACAATACAAGAATAGCTTTGCCAAACAATTGAGTGATTTTACTCACAACACAACACATAATTTCATTATCAAATAATTTATTTTGTTTAATTTTAGAGTATAACACAACACAATTTAGCGACTTCAGTCTCGGACTAATAGCTTGTTTGGCCCTTGATTATCTAGCTTTTAGTGGTTTGCCTTTGGTTTAAAGCAAATGGGTCAAAAGTTTCAACTAAGTTTTTGGTTAAAAAAGCTTTATACTCAATTGATTAACCGGTGGAAGTTGATTCCACTTATTAAAATATATTTGGTTATTGACAATTCTAGCCTTTTGCTTTAAAGCAAAGCAAATTAAAACTATCAAATAAGTGTATGTTAAAAATTATAATACTTCATTGTTTTAACTTTATAAATTGAAGGTGATTTTGCTCAAAAGTATATTGACTTGCACTTTAAAAACATGGGAGAAGTGATGCTTTTTGGAGTTGAAAAGTTGGAAACTTCATTCAAAAGAAAAAAATAATCTCAAAACAATTTTAATAACAAAAATATAAATAATCCATATATGGATCTTAATTAAATTATACAGTATTTCATTTTGCTTAACAAAAACCTATGATATTAGTTAATGTTTCTTCTTCTTCTTCTTTTACTTATATTATTTAAAAATTTTCAGATTATCAATGAAAAAATTCATCAAATTTTATAACATTTCTATTTATTAAAAAAAGGTATGTAATGTTTTAATTCTTATTTTTCATTTACTTATATTATTTAAAAGGTTTCATTATAATAGTAAAAAAAAATTGTTTCAAGTAATTCATTTTAATGTCTTTAAAGAAATCTTAAATTTAAATTCCATATTTAATAGTAATTTTATTTCAAATAACACATCAATAAAGTGATTTTAGTTCCAGTACAACACAACAATTTATAACCAAAGAGTTTAATATATTTAGCATCAAAACTAATATATTAATCACAATATAACACAACGATCACAAAATGGATCAAAAAAGCTCTAAGATATATGAGGTTACACTTAAAAAAACACGAAGAATGTGTTTTTTGAGATGGAAGGTTTATTATTATTTTTAAAGAAAAAACTAGCTTTAATTTTTTTAAGTTACAAAATTATCAATAGTGCATATTTACTTTAATATCTATTATAATATTTCGAGTATCATTATTTTATGTTCTCAAATTCACAAATACAAGTACTGTAATTTTTATTTAAAACAAACTTGCATTTGTTTCTTTTTTATCATAAATATGCATATAATTATGAAAAAAAAATCATTAAAAAAATGATATCTTATCCTGTATATTTTCATGATATGCAATATATAAATAAGTTAATTTTTAGAGGTCTTTAAATTTAAATAAATACAAGTATATAAATCATATTTAATCACTATGAAATTTAAGTTTAAAATGATAATGTGCTTTTTTTATTTAAAAAATACAAGTTGGATTTTTTTTTTAAATTAGCAATTGGATAGATTTAAGTTACAATAGAAGCTAGACAAATTCCCATCAAAATAGAAAGAAAAAAATGAACAAATATATATTTAACGGCCCAAATTAAAAATCAACCCAATAAATATCAACAGCCCAAATTAAAAATCAGCACAAAAAATATTAATGGCCCAAAGTAAAAATCAGCCCATATAAATATAAGAGACCCAAAATTAAAAATCAGCCCATATCTAAAAGCCAATCCTGACCGTCCAAATTATTTATAACCCTAAATCTTTCTTATTAAACCCTACTTCAGCTCATCTCGTCTCCTCTCAGCAGCAGCAGCAGCACTAGAAGCACAACCCCTAACCAGAACGTCTTCTTCTCATTGCTGCTTTGGTAAGCCTCGAAGAACCCCAGCGAATTCTCTTTAATTTCTCCTTTTATCAAATGTCAAATTTAAATCTGAGATTTTTGCTTGTAGTGATTCTTTTAGGTTCTCTGTTTTGTTTTTCTTGTTCATCAACTGCTTCTTCGTTAAAGATTGAATCTTGACATCTGTTTTCTTATATGGGTGCGTTTTGTCTCTAAAGCAAACGGGTTGTTTTTATTTTTCTTTTTTTGCACTTATTTGAGATAATAAAGCTGCTGTCTTGCGTGTGCGTTTCGTTGCACGTACAGTATAGAAACACTAGATTAGGCTGATGCATTAACTTTGTCTTTTGCTTATGTGTGTGTGCTTAGATTTGTTGGTTTTGTGATGGAACTTGATCAGTTTGTTAGTAATTCGAACGAAGAGAATATATAGGAGAGGTGAGCATGGGTTGTTTAGATGATGAAAAAGGGAAGTTTTTTCATATCAATGACTTGTCTGCATTGGTTTTAATTTTTGAATTGCTATGCTTTAGGTGTGTATTTGTCTACTAGGCTACTGATAGGCTACTAATGGCCGTCTTAAGGTTGTGATATGAACATTCATAAATATTTTCTGCTGTATCATCTGTTGTTATGTTGGGTTATTTTAATTTCTTTATGAACCATCTGTTTGCTTAGGCATAGGCATAGGAAAAGTAAACAACCTTTGGTAGCATTGGAGTTTGCTAGAAAAGTTGGGAGTTTGGTTTTCCTTTTATCATTATACAACTTGAAGGGATTCAGCATTTATGGATGTTTTGTTCTCCAACTTTTAGTTCATTCCTGAAAAGTAGAAGGAAACTTACTAATAGATGTATGACTGGAATTTATGTGCCATTATGTTGAAAACTTGTTAGATAATGTGCCGATATCTATTCTGATGAATTTGAATTAAAAATTCTAGTTCAATTAATGAATATAATCCTGTTGCTATCTAGACCTGTGAAGATGTTCACCACAAGGAAGAAGATCCAAAAGGACAAGGATGCTGAACCCACTGAGTTTGAGGAGACAGTTGCTCAGGTTAGTTCCTTAGGTTTCTATCTCGATACTTTGGATTCTTGACTTAAATGAGGTAAGTATGATGAAATCTAAATGCTTTACTTCTGCAGGCTTTATTTGATTTGGAAAATACCAGCACGGACTTGAAAAGTGATCTAAAAGATCTCTTCATAAATTCTGCAGTGTATGTGCATAACTATACGTGTTCTATGTGAAACTTTTCATCCTCTTCTTTCAATTTTCTGTTTTCCTTCTGGTGCCATATCTATTTGCTAAATTTGAATTTTGTAAATTCTGCAGTCAGATTGATGTTGCTGGAAATCGCAAAGCTATTGTCATTTATGTTCCCTATAGGCTGAGGAAGGCTTATCGCAAGGTTCATCTTCGCCTTGTTAGAGAGCTGGAGAAAAAGTTTAGTGGGAAGGTAACATTATCTCATATTCTTAGTTTTCTACCTGTGTAATGGAGGGGTCATGTAAAGTCTTGAACTTGCAACTTCAAGGCTGCAGGTTCAAGTCCTTAGAAGAAGGTGCTTGGCATTTGTAGTTATGGTTAATATACAAGTTAATACCAGTTTCAGCTGAATATTTGCTTGAATCTGAATCCTGAATTATGTTTCATACTCTCTTCTTGTAATCTGGCAGGATGTTGTTCTGCTTGCTACTCGAAGGATTGTGCGTCCACCCAAGAAAGGCTCTGCTGTTCAGCGTCCCCGGTCCCGCACCCTAACTGCTGTGCATGAAGCCATGCTTGAGGATTTAGTTTATCCTGCTGAGATTGTTGGAAAGCGCACTAGATACAGGATTGATGGATCTAAAATTAGCAAGGTATGTGGAGGAAAGAAAATTGTATTTGGAATTGTTCTCTGTCACCATAATCTCTGCCCTTCTCATGAATTCTTCTGTTTTTATATTTTTGTTGTGTCAGATCTTCTTGGATCCCAAGGAGCGCAACAACACCGAGTACAAGCTCGAGTCATATGCAGGAGTTTACAGGAAGCTTACAGGGAAAGACGTGGTTTTTGATTTCCCTGTGACAGAGGCCTGAAGAGCTGCTGTCTATGGGTTTTTGTACTGTTTTTTATTCAGGGGTTCTATAATTGCAGCAGACAGATAGGATAGTATTTAAATTTTTGACTCTTGAATTCTGTTGAATGTCATTTTGAACAGGACAGAACCTTCCAAGGTTTCTTATGAAAAAATTCTTGCGGGTTGGTTGTAGAACATGTCACTTTCTAAGTTTGGTTTTCTGTTGAAATGGTTCTGGGTGATTTTATGGGTCTGGTTCTCGTATCCATTGTATTTTGGTTGATCTGCTGTTTATTATTGTGTAATTAATGGATGCATGAGATCCTCCTTTCCTCTGACGTGGATGTCTATTTTTGCATCTCCCTGGCATGTGATAGCGTAATTCTGTAGACATGTTCTTTCTTTGACATTATTGTGTGGCGAAACATGAAAGTGAGAAGAAGCAGTAGGTTTAATGATTAATGTGAGAGATCCTTGCTTTACTTCGACGTTTTACTGTCTATAATGGTAAGTTGTACTGTTTATAATGGTTAGCAATGGCATATGTCTGCATTTAGTCACCGGCGACCCAGGTTTCAAGTTTGTAGATTACTCTTTTGTACCATGACTAGGTTTTATTTCTACTCAGTGCTTCCCTGCGATGGACCTATAGTTGTGATGCTCTGCTGTCAACTGACTGGTGTAAAATAAGACTCGACTGCTGGTTACTAGAGAGGAGCTTTGGTGGTTGGTCGTGTTGTTGAAGATGGAAATCCGGTTATATAGCACACTAGACTTGAAGATACCCATGGCAGATGGCTTTTTGGTGCATGCGTTTGATATAATACGAGAAGTTGAAATTTTATTCGAGGGAGAATGATGAGAAATCAAGGATACGGTGGTGATTAGTATCAGTTTCAATGCATGATTGTGAATCATAACTTGTGATTCAACTTAAATAAATAGATTACGGATTGGTGTACTTCTTCCTAATAAATTATTATACGAACATGGTCAACCACCTAAGATCATAAGCAAAACAAATAAAATTTTTACATATCACTAAAATTATCCACATCATTTTGTGCCTATATCTTTATGCTTTTCGTGCAGTTCGGAACTTACCTAACAAGAAATTTTGTAATTAGTGAAACTATGAGAGTTTTTTCTAATTATTTTTTTTTCTATCTATTTATATAGTTTCATTAGTTAATAACACAACAGAATTATAAACAAAGGAGCTTGTAAAGAACATTAACTTGTATGAGAAGTTAAAATTGTTGATACTAAAGCATGATTTGAAATATGATTTAAGTCGCTGGTATATACATTGAACTAAGATTAGATATTATAGGTGGCATAGAAAGATAAAAAGAAATTCATTAAATTCAAGTTGAAATTTGATCAAATACTAAAGAAATACAATAATATAAATTGTCCATATTATAATCTATCTGACTTTTATTAAGAAAATCAAAAGATGTATGATTGGAAAGAAGAAGAAGAAGATATTAGTAAGGATGCCAAAAACATAGTTGGTTGAATAGGTACAAAATATTTAATTACAAAAGTTTTTAGTATTCAAAAGACATTACAGAAAATAAAGCTTTGAGCGATGGGAAATTCTATAACTAAACCTATATATTCTATTGTTATTTTCTTTTAGTAATGGAATGGCGACGAAACCAGACTTTAGTTAAAATGCATGTCGTTAATAATTTTATCAACGAAAGTTATCACCCATCGTAAAATTACCGACGAATAACTTGTCGCTATAGTGAAGTACTTCCCATCACTAATGTGATGTAAACTCGTCAATTTGTAATTGTAACATCTATTGCGAGTATCGTTGGTGAGTTGTTTTACTTCCATTGCTATATTGAGAAGGAAATACCAACAAAAATTTATACTATTTGTCGTTTATTTGTTGATCGAATTTGTCGCCATTGGTCGGTTATATTGCGACGGATTCCATAGTTGTCCATAAATAGTTAATATAATTTAATCTTTTTTTTCCTTTGCTAGTCGATCATGGATCTGCCGCTAATGAAGGAAATATTTTTTTAATTAGTTATTAGTGGTTTAATGTTTAATTGTAGTAGCAAACAACTAAACATGAAATTATAACACAAAATATTATTGTGTAAAATAAAAATAATATAAAATCAAATCAAATATATACAAATACGCTTCAGTAATAACATTGGAGCACATTTATATATATTTGATTTGATTTTACATTATTGTTATTTTACACAATAATATTTTGTGATAATTTTATTATTATTATTTGCTACTATAATTAAATATTAAACCACTAATAACGAATTAAAAAAATATTTCCTTTAATAGCGATGGATCAACAATCGACTAACGACGAAAAAAAGATTAAATTATATCCATTATCAACGGACAATTACGGAATACATCGCTATATGTTCAACTCTTTACATCACATTAGTCATGGAAGTACTTCACTATAGCAACAACTTGTCCATCACTAATTTTACGATGGATGGTAACTTCTATTGTTAAAATTATTAGCAATGTGCGTTTTGCCTATAGTTTGGTTTTGTCGTCATTCCATCACCGAAAGAAAATAATGACAGAATATAAAGGTTTAACAATGAAATTTTTCGTCGCTAAAGACTTAATATTTTGAAGTGCATATTATAAGATTCTAATTTTGAATTAAATTCCTTTTCATCTCCATTTTGAAATTATATTTAATCATACTTTTCTCTTTCTACATTTTAAAATTTTGATTTATTCATAATCTTCTATATGTCTCATTTATTATTTGTTTATTCTCTATTATTACCCACTCAAATACTAATTTCATTTAAGTTATAAATTTTGAAAATCTCATAGTCTACATAATTTAATAAGACTAATTATGTGATCACACTAACTTTCACACTTTCACACACACATACACATATGTATGTGTGTGTGTGTGTGTGTTACGTGTAGTGGGATATTTATCAACCAAGACTAAGTTATTAACTCTTTAAGCTACGATTGTATCAGAACACATCTAACTTTTGGTCCACACACTAAAATATTTTTTTAGGTCAAATCAAGCACAATCTTTTGACAACACTAAAGGATAATTATAACTAGTTATCCATGAATAATAAAAATTAAATCTTAGTTTTGGCCAAATGAAAACAACCTATTTATCTTTAAACCATATCTTTTGGTGGTTTCTTTCACTTTTTTTTTTTTTTGGGTATCTATCTTCATCAATTTGGTAAGTTAATTAAAGGAAAAATCAAGACAAAAATACCTTATATATATATATATATATATTGGTCCTACTCAACTTGAAAACCAATTTTCAGTTATGAATCTTAATTTCAATTGATAATCCAATTTAACCAACATTTATCTAAGAAATTTGATTTAATAAAAACATTAAAATTTAATATTTTGAAGAAATATTGTTTGAGTTTGAATGAGAGAAAGGTTTCCTTGATTAAATTAAATAAAAAAATAAGATCACAACACATGTAATTACGAGAAATACTAAAAGAGATGAGGTTTTAACTATTCATTATGACTCATTTGCACCTGTGGACCAACACTTATCTCTACTATGTTGCCATCCTCTATGCATCCGGGTTGTTTTTTCTTTCTTGCATCCGACGTGCCTTGCCTTCAATTGTTGGATTTGGCCAAATAGTGCATTTTGCAAGTCAATGTTTTGTGTTTTTTACCTCTTTTTTGTCCTTGTCAAGTGGTTATTTATCACCTTTTTATTGTGTGCCTAATTTCTATTTTGCCATTTGGGTTGGTGTGATGTTACTTTTTCATCCTCTATTTGTTCCTTTTTTTGTGTGTGTGTATTTTATGCCCTTATTTATAACTTTACTCATTCATTTGTCGGAACCTTTGATGTACTCGCATTGATGAAGCCATGTCATTTTACTTCTTTTTCTTTTGTTTTGGATTTTTCTTCGACTCGTGGCATTAACAATTAACAAAACACATTGTATTGAAATAGAATAAAATCTTAGTGATTTTTTTTTAAGTTAGAGACATTTTATATTTATTAGACTATTTTAAGCATATTTATTTTAATGCTTAAACTAAATCACTAATTACTATATTACAAAAAGAAGATATATATTCACTATGGACTCACTTGTTCACACACCGTGTACTACTTTTAATTTTACTATTTTCTTACTATGCAATATGTCTAAAACCAATATTCATTCATTATGCTTACCATTGTTTGCACGAAAATATAAATTTTGCCCCCCCCCTTTTTTTTTTTTTGTAACACCCAAGGTTTTGAACATTTTTATACACTTGTATGTGTGTCTTCACTTAGTTGAAGTATGTGTATGTTATACTTTGTGTTTGCATGAATGTCATGTTTTGTGTTTGCATTAATAAATATTTAGTTTTGCAAGTTTAGGTCACTAAGTGTTATAAGTGTATGGGTGATTGAGGGACTTGAGTGTAACAAGTAAAAAATTGAGGACTTAAATTAGTGAAGTGATTAAGTGTAGTGACTAGTTTGTTAAGTCATGTAAACTTAATGGACTTAGAGATATGGCTTAATTAAATATTCCATGCATGCTATGACCTAAAAATAAGATTTGGCTAGTAAATTATACATATGTATTAATCTCAAAAAAATATCCTTAAGTATTAAGAATACTAATACATATGTATTAATCTCAAAAAATATCCTTAAGTATCAAGAATACTAATACAAGTGACAATTCTAGCTTCTTTAAACCTTTCAAATTTCGACTAAGAGAGAAAGAAAATGGGAAAGTGTTTCTAAACCATATTTGGGATATTTTAGCCTTAAAAAACATGAAAACAACAAGAAAAAAAATCGATTTTCTTAGGAGACCAATTCGGCCGAGAGAAAGAGAGAAAGAGTGTTGGTCGAGAGAGATGAAGGAATTAGACAACTTGGCCGAGCATAACAACAAAGAAAAAGGGATTTTAAGAGCTTTTAAGATACTTGAAACACTAATTCAACCCTAAGATAAGTATAATCTCATCTTAACTACATCA